GCCCCTGCCGCCGCCATCGCCCGCCAGGCGCGCGGCCAGGCCCAGCCCGATGCCCGAGGAGCAGCCGGTGATCAGCACCGTGGTTCTCGCCATGGTCGGGCTGGGCCGGCCCGGGGGCTGCGCTGCTTAAGAGGGCTGGGAGGGGGGTTTCCCCGCCCCCTGCCACGGGTGTTGTGTCTGCTGCCTTATCTCAAGGCCCCTCTGCCCACCTCCCTGTGCCTTGATGCTCACACACCTGCTGGGATAAAGCCCCCGCGGAGCCAGGACCCCCCGATGGGAGTAGGCTCCGGGGTCAGCACGTCGTGCCGTGCTGTGCCAGGCTCCCTGGCTGCCAACACTCATCTGGCAGCGCATTTTTCCTGCTCTGCCAGCTCAGGGCCCAAGCCCCCCCTCCTCTACCCCCTGTGTCACTGAAGTCCCAGCTAGGGAGAGATGGACACACATGGGAGATAAGAGCACTTCACAGCATTTAATGGCTCTGCAGCCTGGCAGCACTGCAGCCAGGCTCTGCCTGGGCCACAGCTGGGCTTGAAAAGCCTAAAAAATCCCCATCCTGGGGAGTGTGGCCCCAGCAGCAGCACAGCAAGTGTCACAAAGTCCCTACTGATACCAAAGGCACAAGTGTGGCTGGGGCTGTGCTGCAGTGGGTCCCTGCAGGCACTGGGGTCCATGTGACAGGGAGACCCCAGGACCCCACCAGGGTTGAGGCTGGTTCCCCTGGGCAGGGGCTGCTCTGCCCCCACCACCACCTCCCTGGCTGCTTCTCTGCCATCACTGCTCCTGCCAGCCAGGGCTCTGCAGCAAGGACATGTGTCATGTCCCTCTGCACAGTCCCAGCTCCTGCCAGGCCCCAGCTGGGAGCAGCTCTAGCCTGGGGCAGCCCAGCTTTATCAGGGACAGGCTCAGTGCAGCCTGTCAGGGCTGGCAGGGCTTAAAAGGGAACAGGAGGGGTCCGTGGTGCACAGCCTGTCCCCAGTCCTGCACAGGCTGGGGAATGATGGGTCCAGGCTGGCCAGGGCCCCCCAGGGCTCTGTGTCTTCATCTCAGCAGGGCCAGGATGCAACAGCCAGGCCAGGAGTTGTGGGAGCCTGGACACAGGAGGTGTGTGGTCTCTGTTCTCCCTCCTGGGGGAGATTCCAGAGGTATGGCCAAAGTCATGCCAGTCCAGCCTGGCTGCGCTGCAGGGCACTGGGGTAGTATTTGAGGAACAGCTTCCTGGAGATCTCCAGCGTGTCCCCAGTTGGTGTGATTGGGTAGCGCTTCTGGTTATACACAAAACCTCTCTCCACCTGGAAGACAGCCTGGTTGAACTTGTCCTGGTGGAAGGGGTTGCCCGAGTTCAGGCTCTCCACCAGGGCAGAGACAAAGAGGCTCCAGCGCACGCTGTAGTAGTCCAGCACCAGCCCCCCCAGCTGCTTGTTGGCATAATCCAGGATGTTCCCGCTGGGCCCCCAGAGTGTCACCTGATTCCGGGCATTCAGCTCGTACTGCTCGGCCTCCTGGTCGCTGGTTGCCATGGCAATGGCTCTCTCCAGCCAGCGGCCCAGCAGGAAGAGGCGGTGGCTGGAGAGCAGGCTGTCCAGCTCCGGGAGCAGGTCGTAGACCAGCACACCACCGGCCGTCAGCAGCTCCGGCAGCGCGTGGCTCTGGAAGGCCCGGCGCAGGCTCAGGTAATAGTCGCCCACCAGCTGCTGGGCCGCCTGGCGCGTCACGTCCACCAGGTCGTAGCGGAAGGGGGGGCTGGAGCCCAGCTGGGCGCTGGCGCTCAGCAGCAGGCGCCAGGCCTCGTAGACGTCGCTGGCGTTGTACCACAGCTCGGTGTCCATGCGCAGGGAGGGCCGGTGCACCAGCGGGCTGCGGTTGTGGTTGACGCAGACACCAGTGCAGTTGTAGACACTGCGGAGGAGCAGGCGCCAGGCGGCGGCCGCGGCGCCGTTCGGGGCACCATAGCGGCGCTCGGCATAGCGGGGCACCCAGCTGGGGAGGTCCAGGGGCTCCTGGCGCCAGCCCAGCTCGTTCATCAGCTCGTACACCATGTCATTCTGCTCAATGCCCTCAGGCACCAGCCCTGTGCCCACCATGGTGGAGTTGGGGAAGCGGCGAGCAGCAAAAGGGCCATGGTTGATGGCCTCCACGGTGCCAAAGAGGCCATGATTGCCCCCGAAGTTGTGCAGCATGCACCAGATGAAAGGCTGCCCGTAGAAGGACTCTGTCCACTGATAGACAGGCTTGGACTCAGCAAAAAGGTCAAGAACGATCATCCTGCCGAGGGGCACCCCGTGCAGCAGCGCCCGCACCTGCGCTGGCTGCCAGAAGTCCGGCTGGTGCTGGAAGAGCCAGCCCTGCATCAGCCACAGCGCCTCGGGGTCAGCTGGGGACAGAGTGTAGGGGTGAGGTCCTCTTCAGGCAGACCCCAGTGGCCCAGTGAGCATCCTGTGAGGTCCTGGGGCCACCCACCACACCTCCCAGAGGGGGCTTCGAGGGTCTGGCACCAGCGGGGTCTGCTGAACTCAGGCAGCTCCGCGCTCCTGTGGGACCCACAGTCACCTTTTCCCCCCACCGCCCCCACACGCTGACCCACCTCCTGCCATCGACCTGAAGACAGCGTTGCTGACCCTGGAGAGATAGGCAGGGTCAGAGGAGAGGGGGGTCATCTCGTTGAAGGTGTCGGCGCTATAGACGTGGTCTGTGCCAAACTCCTTGATCAGCTCCTTCAGGAAGAGAGTCCCGATCACCTGGAACATGGGGTCCTCGGGGTCCAGCAGGTAGGTACATGAGTAGGTGCAGTCAAAGTGGCTCCAGCCTCCAAGGCGAGTGGCATTGACACGTGGGAAGACCCTGGGCCAGAGGGCAGAGATGGGGATCAGAAGAGAACAGGACTACCATGTCCCTGCAGGGACAGAGCAGCCTCACAGGGAAGCCACAGGAGGGCTGGAAGCTGCACTGGCCCTAAGAGAGCCCTGTGGCAGGCTGAAGATGGGACCCCAGGAAGGGCACGGGGCTGAGACAGTGGGGAGGGGCCTGCAGCCCGGGCTGATCTGTCCCGTGGGTCTGTGAGCACATCGGGCTGTACCCACCGGAGAACCCCGTGGGGCACGTGGCCCGCAAAGGCTGGCAGCACCGTGGTCATCCCCAGCGAGCGCATCCTCTCCACGATCCGGTACTGGGAGAGAGAAGGGAGGGAATGTGGGGAGAGGAGCCCCCACCTCCCGGTGAGGGGCCCCTGGGCACTGCGGGGGCTTGGGGAAGGGAGCAGTGGTCCCCAGTGCCCCGCGAGGGCCACCTCAGCCTGGAAGACCAAGGCAAGGGGTTGTGTGGGTCTGCCCCAGGCAGGCGGGCAGTGCTGGTGCCCCAGGTACCTGCAGGTAAAGTTGTTTGATGTGCCAGGCGGGCGGCAGCGGCCCTGCCCAGCCACGGAGGTTCCCCATGCGGTTCCAGGCCAGGAACGCCGGCCCGGTGAAGTACGTGTCGATCTCGGACTGGTTGAGGCCCAGGGAGCGGTAAACCTGTGCGGGACGGGGGGCTCAGCTGGCCCCGGGCTTCCCCCGACCCTGTCT